GGGTACAGGGGAGCGAAGAATTGGGGGGCGGTAGCCCGCACCCGACAGAGCAGTCGGGAAGCAGTAGCTCCATCACGACGGAGGAGTCGGGAGACAACGGCCCCGACAAGAGACACAGAGAGAGAGACCCAACCTAGAGAGACGGAGAGAGACACGTAGAGAGAGGCCCACACAGAGAGAGACACATGCGGAGACACAGATACACAACACAGAGACGGAGAGAGAGACACACACAACGAGACAACCCCCACAGAGAGAGAGACAAACAGAGACAACCCCCACACAGAGAGAGACACAACAACAACCGCCATTCGCCACTAAGTGGTGGTGACATCACCACGACGCTTGTGACAGGCCATGTGCACCTTGAGGCCACGTGAGTGTCGAACGCCCGCTGGCAGGAGATCACGGGGCAGACCCAGGTGCCACAGGTCGACTGACTGAGATGACCGAGATGACCGGCTGATGTACCACCTGTGCCCCCTACTGTGCCAACTTGCTGTGCTTTAGCCACCCGGCGCTCCACTCGTTGTTGTGAGCATAGCTCCTCCGCCCTCCGTTGTTGTTGGAGGGCGACTGCTTCCAACTGCCCAGTAGCATCCTTCACGAGCCTCCTCCACAGAGGCCGATCTTGACACCGCTGGTACCAGTCATCGGCAAGTCCACTCAGCTCCACGTCCTCCTGTACCACATCACTCCATCTCTTCTCTAGCCCGTGCCGCGCCCGTTTAGCCCCCTCTATCCGGCCGAACAAAAGCTGTTTAGGCATGCGGTGGCTGGGCATGCGGGCTATATGACCCAGCCAACGCAGCCTTGCCTGCCGGAGGAGCTCACCGATGGGATTTTGCCCAGATCTTTCAAGAATTTGTGAGCTCTTCACACAATACAGCCTGGTTAAACCCAGGATAGATCGTAGGCAGGCCAGCCTAAATGTGTATAACCGGCGAAGATGCTCCCTTAGGGGGGTCCACGTTTCGCAAGCGTAGAGAAGGGAGGGAATGACCGTGGCCGAGAAGACCTGAAGCTTTGTGCGGAGTGACAGACTAGGTAGCTTCCACACAGCGTTGCGCAACCGAGTAAAAGATATTGCCGCTTGACTGATTCGGAGTGAGACCTCTGCTGTTAAACCGGAGCCGGTTATGAGCACACTGCCCAGGTATGGGAAACTCTCCACTCTCTCCACAACTGCCCCATCACTGATTGGGAGTTATGGGGGTGGTGTGTCCGATGGTACAAAATACCCAGGCAGAGAGAGACACACACACAGAGACACACAGAGAGAGACAAACAGACACATAGATAGACACAAGCACATAGAGAGAGACACACTGAGACACACACAGACAACAGAAAGAGAGGGAGAGACGCACACAAGGAGACAACCCCCACGCAGAGAGAGACACACAGAGAGACACAGAGAGAGAGAGACACAGAGAGACACAAACAGACACACATAGATAGACACAAGCACACAGAGAGAGACACACACAGAGACACACTGAGAAAGACACACATAGAGAGAGACACACAGAGAGACACACACAGACAACAGAGAGAGAGACGCACACAGGGAGACAACCCCCACGCAGAGAGACACACACAGAGAGACACACAGAGAGACACAAACAGACACACATAGATAGACACAAGCACACAGAGAGAGACACACACAGAGACACACTGAGAAAGACACACATAGAGAGACACACACAGATAACAGAGAGAGACGCACACAGGGAGACAACCCTCACGCAGAGAGAGACACACATATAGAAAGACACATAGAGAGAGACACACAGAGAGACACAAAGAGAGAGATACACACAGAGAGACACAAACACAGAGAGAGACGCATACACAGAAACATCACAGACAGGTATAGTCTGTTAAAAAAACGAGAGCTCCCGCCATATCGAGGGAAAGGGGCAACGGCAGCTGTGTTAGCGAGACACTCAGCCCGTTAATGTAAAGACATTTAACCTGGTGAAGTACTCAGAGAGTCGGAAATAACAGCTGACATCGGCAGGTAGGATGGAAACATCACAGTCAGTTAAGACTTTACCTGGTTAATAACGGCCTTCCAATGATTGCTCAGTCTGTACCCATCTTCTCGGTTGAAGTTGTGTCTGTGTTTATATATCTCGATGGCTTCATGAACAAATCTCTGATGATAGCCGGTGGAATTTTGATTTAAAGCTTTCGTGACTGCAGTAATTCATATTCTTGGTTATTTCGGTAAAGTCACGTTGAAGGGAAACAATTAAATAATAAAATATATACAATAAAATTCTCACGAAGTTTCAACTGTAACACAAACAGTCATCATCAGGTGTGAAAACCAACGGCAGGAAGCATTTGAAAGAAGTGGCGGTTTGTATTTATTTATTTTTAAACGTTAGCACCACGGACAGCGATTTGGCAGTTTGTTTATAAGGACGAGTCCATCTATGTTCGGAAAAGAGGAGGGGGGAGACGAAAAATTAATGTATGCTGTCTGAAAGCCACCGTAAGCGTGAACAATCAATTAAGACCCGAAATGGTTTATCAAATCCTTCCAATGGGCCCTATGGTGTAGTGTTTTGATGAGGGAATCCTTCTGGGCTGGATGGTGGTGGGAGTCGGGCTTTAGATAGGCATCCGTGTGGGTGGATTTTCTGTAGACAGTGTCCCAACGAGCCATCAGGTCTCTTCTCGATCAAAACATCCAGGAATGGTAACTTGCCATCTTTTTCCACTTCCATGGTGAATTTGATGGCTGGGTGTATGGAATTGATGTGGTTGAAGAATTGGTTTAGTGCTGGCTGGCCATGTGGCCAGATTACGAACATGTCATCTACGTATCTCTTCCACAAGGAAGGACGTAGGGTGGATGACTGGATGGCATCTGTCTCAAATTTCTCCATGAAAACATTCGCTACCACTTGTGATAAGGGAGAACCTATTGGGGTACCTTCATCTTGTTTGTAGAATGTACCATTCCAGGTGAAGTAAGTGTTAGTAAGGCAGTGCCTCACCAAAGTTGGCACATCAGAATTCAGTCCCTGTTGGATCAAGTCTTCAATGATTGCAATGGTGTCAGGCACAGGTACCTTGGTGAATAGAGAGACTACATCGAAACTCACAAGCAAATCATCTGGAGACAGAGATATGTCTTTGATTAGAGAAACCAAGTGAGCTGAGTTAAGTACAGCTGAGGTGGTCTTGCCAGTAAATGGAAGCAGGGTCTCAGACAGAAATCGTGCCCGTTTGTAGGTGGGCGAGTTAATGGTGGAGACGATGGGACGGAGCGGTGTACCTTCTTTATGGATTTTTGGAAGGCCATAAAATCTGGGTGGTTTAGCAGCAGAAGATTTTAGAGAGAGCAGCTTGATTGGTTCGATTATAGAAGTCGAGTTAGTGATGATATTGTTGGTTTTCGTAATCAGGCGGTTGGTAGGATCTCTATTGAATTTGGTATAGCTACCATCCTTAAGAAGGTTCTGAATTTTGTTGTTGTATGTGGTTTTATCCATGATGACAGTGGCATTGCCCTAGTCGGCTGAGAGGATGACAATATCATCTCTCTTTTTTAATTGAGAGGTCAAAACGCTCGTCCTTGCTGATGTTGCTAACGAGTTTCTTAGCGTTTTTGAGGATAGCAGCGATTTCAGATCTTGCTACGTATGCCGGGATGTGTCCTAAGCCTTTGAGGGCTACATCGACCTGGGCAATGATATCATCCACTGGGATGTGTTTAGGGGTGACTGCGAAATTCAACCCTAATACCGATTTTAGGCTGTCGGACATTGGGCTGTTACTCTGATTGATAGCAATCTTTTGGCGTCCTCTGGTCTAACACTATTTTTGAGACTAGGCTCAAAAGAAAACTGTCTCTGGTGTGGACCAATCAGTTTCAAAGACAATGCATATATTATCATAGTACGTTTTTTGTTTGCATTCTGACCACAAGTATTGTGATTAATGCAGACATGATTCCTTGTAAAAGGTTTCAGTTTGGTGTTTTAACATCTTAACACCTGGTTTTTTGCCAGAAAAAAGGCAAAAACCTATTCTCAATCTTGTTAACATCTAACTTTTTAACGTGTGGATCTGGCTTCTTCTTAGACAGGAAGTTGAATTTAGCAATCAGGTTAACTTTACATTTGGTTGACACTGAAGCGGCATAAGAAACTATCATGTTATTTTCTATCTTATGATTTTAATATACCTATACATTGGATTGTGGGGGAATATAGGGTACGATAATATAGGATTAGTTAAGGATAGGCGACGTACCTTCAACTCAAGTGGTAGTGCTCCTATAATCCCTACTCCATCCACCCGTGCTACACCCTGCTGTGTCCCAGTCGTGGGACACACACCAGGCAGATGTCTCTGATTGTTTAGCAAACTTGTCATACGTTATCGCTATCTCGAACCCCACTTTGCATCCATCTGTTAAGTTATCCTCACGTTCGCTGCAGCACATCGTATTTCAGCAGCCATCGTGATGACGACGCCGTCGGAAACATCTGAGATGGCTCGCGTGTTCGCCCATTCCTATCCGGGCATTTGTTTATCTCGTACAATTATCGGGAAACGATCTTCCTGTGTCGCTGTGAGCAGCGGGAAACGATCTTCCTGTGTCGCTGTGAGCAGCGGGAAACGATCTTCCTGTGTCGCTATGAGCAGCGGGAAACGATCTTCCTGTGTCGCTGTGAGCAGCGGGAAACGATCTTCCTGTGTCGCTGTGAGCAGCTGTGACGACTTCCTGTTCAACGTGCATCGTGGGACTTCATGTTGCGGTACCACCGCCGCGGAGCAGCTCCGTGAGGGGCCGTATTCACCACCGTGACACCGCCACCGGGGAGTGACGACGCCGACGCGGCGCGCCCCTCGCCCCCCCACATGTATACACACACACACCCCACTTAGGGCTGGAAAGGAAGGTCACCTGGCCGACGGGTTTTTATCCAGAAGCCCCTAATGGGATCAAGCTTCATGGTTTCCCGCGGCCGGGAAATTGCGTGGTCACGGCGGAGGCCGTTGTGCCACCGCGAGCGAAACCGCACACACACGGCACGGGGGGTGGGAACCGCGAGATGCCTGTGGTTATAGATGGAATTAAGAACTGAATGCCTGTTGTTATAGATGGAATTAGGAACTGAATGATAGGAGCATTCACGCCTCTGCATAGACAGGGCGGCGCAGGGCAGAAGCATCTGAATGTCTTTTGTTCTAGAAAAGGTCACGGATCAGCATGTGAAAAAGGACGAAAATAACTCAGCCTCTGAATGGACAGGGCGGTACGGAGCGTGGGAACCACGGTACGCCTTTGTCATAAGTAATATTACAGATCTGAATATGAAGGAGCACGGGTGGGCAGGCGCCAGAGCAACGGAATGCCTTTAGGGTGTATAAAATACGGAGGCTTAGCGTAGCAAGGGACAGTCTTCTTCAAAAAGCATCGCGGTCCACGCAGGAGGGGAGTTAGCCATTCGAGACGTCCACGTGACGAACTTCAGCGCAGCCAGGCTCAACCCTCTACTGATCGCTTTTCTACAGCTTCCAGCGCAACAGAGTGGAAGTACGCGTGAGTAAGAGAGAGAGGTAAGTTTGGGCTATTTGATCGAGGGTAGAAAGCAGAGCGATAGGCAGAGGAAATACAGTCTAGGATCCCAAGGGGAATAGGCGGACATCCACGGACACACACAATTACGCGTAGCTTAACGGGTCGCTCGCGGTAAATAAAATAACTGGTAGGGGAATAAACTGTTTCGTGTGGTCCTTTGGAGGGTGAAGAGGGTGGAGAGTGTTTTGTGTTCACGCGCATACGCGGCTGTTTGCGGCGAATAAGGGAGTAGAGCGTGCTTGGTGTCCGTACCTGTACGAACGTTTACAGTATTGTTCAGCACGCGCGTGCCTACACGACTATTTTCGGTGGTGTCCAGCGCTCGCGTACCTGCGCAATCGCCTACAGTAGCGCTTAACGCTCGCGCGCCTGTGTGACGGGGTGGCGGTCGCGCACCTGCACGATTGTCTAATAGCGAGGTAGCGAATTAAGCGCCTGGCGTGCGCGAATACGCAGCTGTGTAAACGGCCCGTTAAATCGGAGCAAAGTAATCGCGGCGTGTTTGTTTTTGCTTAAGCGCGTGGAGCGTGGGTGGGAGGGAATCCCACGGCGGCGCGCCGCACCTGTTTATTCCCGTGCGGGACGGAGTTTTTGCTGGCAAGCGCGCTCACCGCGGCTCGCCGCCTCCCAACCACGCAGCGCGCCACGAGCGTAAAGCGCCGCGCCCTACTCATCGGTCGAAACACGCTGACGCGGTCAGCAGCACAGGAGGGCGAGGCAGGGGAGGTCGCTAGCCCGAACCCCACAGAGCAGCCGGGGGGTAGCGGTATGAATGGAACGGGGGAGTCCGGTGGGCAACGGCCCCGACAATTCAGTGATGGCGGGGGACGTTCGCCCCCCACACATGCAGTCTCACTGCAGCAGTTTCATTTGTTTTGTCAGTGGTTTCTTATTACGTCTCTAACTACGTGTGTTTTTCTTGAGACCTCGGTTTGTGAGGGCTTCAACAACTGCATAAATTGTCACCGAGTCTGATGCGTTTTCATAGTCTACAGATTAAGACTATGACTGCGGTCTTCGCTCAACGCGTTTGTCAACTATACTTTGTGGTATGGTCTGAAAAGGGAAAACATGTTAGAAGTGATATTTCAGATAATAACTATTCTGTACGGCACTCAGTGAATTGCAGGCGTGCTATGAACATAATCAAGCTAACCTCAGGGATACTGTACTGAATAATTTTTGCACAAGAGTGGTCATGCAAAACACCCTCACCCCCGCCCCCTTTTTTTCTCCCGACCCCTAACCTCACCTTACCAGACCTCTAATTAGCACAGTTGGCTACATACGGTGCGAAAGAAGTTCAACATACATATAAAATAACCCAATTAACCATAATCGGTCCCCATTAGGGGGAGAATAAATCAGCATCTCTCATCAGAATCTTTATTTATCCTGGAGAAATCCGATAAGCTATTCATCTCTTTTTCATAGATGTCCAGTCGGGACGAGTGAGAAAGTTGCAACAACAAACAATACAAACAACTATAGAAGTACAAAGTCTAGGAAAGGTAAGCAAATCACGAAAAATAAATATGCGATTTTTATTTTGCCAGGTAAAGCCTACTTAGCTATTAGTCATTTTTCAGAAGCGACCTGCTCACAAACGATAGCAAAACGAAGTGGATTATCACGTGCAAATTTGTATCAGCCAAATACTCTTCAATACCCAGAGGGTACGGCCCATGGATCTGTGTTTATTTGCCCTCTGTCATGTTCGCGGTTGCGGTTTCAATAAACACATTACTAAAAAAAATTGGTCATGCAAACGGCAATAACCCGTAACCAGAATCCGGCACATTAAACATTTCTTAAGCAAGGACATGGAAATAGATAGTTACTTATTTACAAGGATCCGGTGCCTTTGCTTGAATCTTTTTTTTATTTTACTGGGTAAGTGGCTCGCAAGCAAAAGGTTGTGAGTTCAAATCCTGGTTGGGGGTTGACTCAGCCGATCATCCCTTTGTGGTCAAAAAATAAGTACCACTTTGTTGGTAAGGCAACACTAGTTTTCCGTTGGAGAGATTCACCCCGTCATAGGAATGTGGAATTGCCACCACTGGTCGAGGCTATAAATATATGATGAGCACCGCCTCATTGCTCATTTGAGCAGAACATCACTTTGACCTTCGACTTGAGTGTAAAATACCACTGTAGTGTCTGGCTATGTTGTTTCTATGTTGGATGGCAACAGCATGGGTCAATATTCAGCCGGCAGTGGGTAGAGAATGCGGGATGTGACAAAACCGTTGAACAAACTCTACGAGAATCATGCCCCGAGTTTCTTACGCCAGGCTGTTCTGGGTCACAGTAAGACTGCCAAAGTAGCGAGCCATACCAAAACAAGTCCCCGTAAACAGAGGCATAGACCTGCTGGCAATTTAACACGTAGGCTATCGCGAACAATATTGTTAATGATAAAGTTGTTTTGCTTAGACCGCGTAAATGTCAATTAGTAAGGTTTGTCACGTGGACCAAACGTGCCAATGAGTTACTTCAGCGCGTAATTATGGCAATCGCCTGATATGCTGTTGTTGTAATCACCAGCGAAATGTCGTTAACTCAAATTGTAAATGTTGTGGGTTTGGTCTCCAACACACCGGTGTGCTGAAGTAGTAACTAATTGGCACGCTTTGTTCACTTGACAAACCTTGAAAATTGGCTGTGTCGGGTGTAGGTGGGTTTACGACACTTTTACATATATTCGATGGAACCCAAAAAACAGTATCACAACTAAAGGCAATGACTCTCCCCGAACGCCTGCAATCAATAGCAGGATGTAAACATCAGGTCACGCTAATAGAAACAACTGCACTGAAATTTTCCGAGTAGATATCTACCTTGTTATGAACGACCGATTGAGAGGGAAGGGATATTGGACCCAATTACATTTATAATTTGTTTCCACGTTTTTGCGGAATTCCAAACGTTAGCCGGAAATCCGGCACCCGCAGACGCATCTCGTTCATGAAGCGAGGAGGGAGGCTGCATGCGCAGAACCGGTGCAGCCCGATCTGGAACTGATTGCCCCCCCCCCCCCGCTGTGAATCGCGCCGTGGGAAGGCCAAGTAGGAAAAGGTCCCCAATGATGGGTCGAGACACCCTCGTCCAGAATCCGCAATGCAAAATCATCACTGGTGTGGCTGTGCAGCATTTACAGACACACACACACAGAGACGATCAATAAACAGACGATTCGCTGCCTCCACGTGTCTGTGCCTTCACATACAACGTAAAAGCAATGATAACACATCCCATAAACCACATCTCCGATTAGCACGATTTGGCTATGTACGGTGCGAAAGAAGTTCAACATACATACAAGGTCTCATTGGGAGTGCATGATTCAATCAGTATTGGTTCAACGCATGCAGACTCAATTGCAAAGTCAGGCTTGCTTGAACCAATGCCGGCGAACTTCCAGATGGTTATAGCCAAGGGTCTCCTCTCTCTGTTAAATATGGGGTAGAGTTCGATGCAAAACTCTATAACATACAAAACTAAATAATCAATAATGTGCAGAATTAAGCGTGGAGCAGAGTGAAAGACAGGGCCAGCGCTACGGTTCAGAAGGTTGTCCTGCACAAGTGATCTGGGCCCATCCCACCAGGACCGTGTCAGCCCCAGAGGGCAGAGGCCATGCTGATGAACACTGCTCTGGACTAAACCTGCACAGAGGCTACTCGCCGTCTGGCGAGCGCCGGTGTGGTGGCCACACTGGTGACGCAGATACAACCTCTCGTGGGAGGGCAGAACTGCCTGCGGTTGTTCAAAATTAAACCAGTTGCACCGCTGTGTCACGCATGTACCATATGTATGTTGAACTTATTTCCCACCGTATGTAGCCTTCCGTGCTAATCGGAGGTGCGGGGAAAAGCGAGACGTGCCCCATTGCGAGACGTGCCCCATAGCGAGACGTGCCCCATAGCGAGACGTGCCCCATAGCGAGACGTGCCCCATAGCGAGACGTGCCCCAATAGGGAGATGCGCGCCAGTGGCTACAGCGAGGATAATGGGAGCATGGGCACCCACTGCCAGGGCCCTGCAGAGGTGGTGGTGGGGGGGAAGGGTTGGGCAAACAGGGACAATTTGTCCTGGGCGTCACAAATAAGGCGGCCCATTATAATGGGCCTTCTTATTTTGCCGCTAATTAATATAGCTGCCCAACGTGACCTTCTACCCACGGAGTCTCCAGCTCCGGTGCCTCCAGGGACCGATGGGTGACCTTGGCCGCACCAGCACGGAGCGGAGTTGTTTTGTTGGTGTCGGTTCTCACGCGACTCCCGCCTCTCCTCGCCAGGACGCCCGGCGAGGCACACGCCCAGGGATCCGGCCCGCGCGCAGCGTTGCTGCTGCTGTTCTTCACCACTCGCCTGGTCTCGTGTCACCGCGCCCGCCTGACTTTCAACGCACTTTCTGCAAATGTGTCTTTTTTTAATTCGCAAACATTCTCGCAGTTAACAATAAAGGTTACGCACATTGCAAGCCCCGGTGTGTATGTTTCCTAGAACTCACATGTAGAGGTTGCACAATGATTGAGCTTCCTAAGTTGTGCCCTTGGCCGCCGCTTGTTTGTGGTTTATTTATTAGCCAGGCAAGCGCAATAACCCGATGCGCGTTTTGCTCCCCACAGCCCAGGTTGTTGTGGCCTAGCCGTGCCCTTGGCTCTGGGAATCTCGTGCAGAAAAAAATACAAAAGTGTTCAGATTGGCAATCGCTCTGGCGGAATTTTACAAAAGCAGGACAACGTCAAACCCCGCATTAATCTGGGCCAAAGAGTTTAGGGTTTCAATGGCAATTGAGATAAATATGTTCAGTATTATACGTGGGCATCTACGGGCAATATGATTTTTTACTAATTGATTTTGGGTTAAATTGTCGTGTAGTGTGTATAATATCAATGTCTTAACTATAACCCCCGACAAAGCCAATCAATTAGGTTGTCATGTCATGGGTCAAATATGCCAATTGATTTGGTTTATTAGTTAAGCTGGAGGAGGAGGAATGTTGAAAAGTCCAAGCAACATCGTGACGTTCGTCGACGTTTCGCTGGAGATTACATTCAGCATCGTCAGTTTTCAACAATTTGCTTGCTTTGCAACAATCCACAAATTAGCCGAATAACCAAATCCAATGGCACATTTTCTCCCATGTGACAACTTGATTGGATTGCTTTTGTCGGGTGGTGGAGGGATATACTAAAACCACTGAGATAATACCGACACAACTATCACCATCAAACAAAGACGGTCACTGCATCGCGCACTTTCAGATGCGCTCCTGCAGGCCGTCTGGAACGCTCTTCCTTCCGATATTAGGAAACCACTGGAACGATGCACTATTAAAACTAGATTGAAAACTCATTCTTTTAGAACTGTTTTTAGTGTTTAGTTTGTTAGTGCGAAAAAAGTTCAACATACATATATACACTCTAACCCAAGAGAAACTAACCATGAATCAGTGTTGCTCAGATAACGTTAAGGCTCTCAAGTAAACACGTGCTGAAGGTGACTTAAGCTCACGAGGCGACACCAATGCAATCGGTGGAGGCGCAGTCACCAGCTGGTGCGTACGAAAGCACTGGACCGGCCCACTTCTGAACGAGGCCGAAATTCGCTGCGCAGCGATGACGGTGGACGGGAGTGCGAGCCGCAGGTGAGAGGGGCTAACTGCTGAGAGAGGACGGCGGAGTGAATGCGGCACCGCTGGCAGGAGCGAGAAAGTTCACAGCCAGCAGGGGACCTGACGACAGTGAGTGTCATTTTCAACGACAAATAAGAGGAGCGCCAACAGTTCAGGAGGCAGAAGAGGAGCGCGAATAAGACGAACATCTGTGGGAAAAGAGCGACATAACTCATTGGATTCCTTCACTCCAAATAAAAATTCTGATTTTGTGCCACGGAGCGGTAGACAAGTGGAGGGGGGCGGGAAGCAGGCACAGGAAGACGTCCACCGCTAGGAGCGACCACATCGGCTCTTGTCCAGGTGCTCAGATCGGTTGTTCAGAATCAGAATATTTACGTATACTTAAGGAATCTGATGAGCAATGAAACTCTTTTCCACTGATGTCCAGGATGTTGTTGTATCGCGGGGCCGTGACAGATGGCGACGGCTTAAGGAGACATTTTATCCAGCAGCGGATGAAACGTGGATGCTGCTGCTGATTGCGCTCCAGCTGCAGGACACAACCCGTTGTGAGGTTGGCTTGCTGAGCGACAGCCCACCTCCTGCTGCCGCTTTGCCCACTGCCCCCCACCCACCCACCCACAGCACGCCGCCGTAGATTCGCCTCCTGCGCCCACGTCTCGCACGCTGCCAGCTCGCATATAAAGCGGGATCCCCCATCTCGGGGCGGCACTGCTCATCGGGGACCCACGACACGGCAACGTCGTCGGTGAGATACACGAGACGCGGACACAGGTGCACGGCGGGGCTCGCACCGGGGGTCGTGTTAACACGGGGGTCGTGATAACTCGCGGGTCGTGTTAACACGGGGGTCGTGTTAACACGGGGATCGTGTTAACACGGTGGTCGTGATAACACGGGGGTCGTGTTAACACGGTGGTCATGATAACACGGGGGTCGTGTTAACACGGGGGTCGTGATAACACGGGGATCGTGTTAACATGGTGGTCGTGATAACACGGGGGTCGTGTTAACACGGGGATCGTGTTAACACGGGGGTCGTGATAACACGGGGGTCGTGTTAACACGGGGGTCGTGATAACACGGGGGTCGTGTTAACACGGGGGTCGTGATGACACGGGGATCGTGATGACACGGGGGTCGTGTTAACACGGGGGTCGTGATAACACGGGGGTCGTGATGACACGGGGATCGTGTTAACACGGGGGTCGTGATAACAAGGGGGTCGTGTTAACACGGGGGTCGTGATAACACGGGGGTCGTGATAACAATGGGGTCGTGTTAACACGGGGGTCGTGTTGACACGGGGGTCGTGATAACACGGGGATCGTGATGACACGAGGTTTTAATAATGTAGTGACATCGCGAATGTCACTGTGTAATGCCGGCCCGAGAGAGGCACGGCGTGCATTCTAATGACATTGCGAACACCACATTGATGTGAGTGCAGTACCGGCCCTAGAGGGGCTCGGTGATTGCTGACAGTGCTGGATGGCGCCACGCTCTGCGTGCAGTGCCGACCCCTACAGCATAGGATGTGAGAGTGCCGGCCACGGGAATGGGGTTACTATAGGCCATGGCACTCTGGTTGACCGTAGAGGACACTTGACCGGTTAAGTCTACACAGGGCCCCCAAGTGGGGGCTGGGGGTGGTCACGTGTCAGGGCCTAGATCCTGCTCGAGGATTCCAGAAGGTGGTCGTGGATAAGGGCAGAGGATATAAGCCGGGTCCACGAGAGGGACCGGCTGCTGTTGTTCATCCTGAAGAATCTACGTTCTACGTCCTACAGAGCCACCAACACATGAACCGGGGCCCAAGCTGTGGTCCGGTCTGTTGTAGCTAGTTACCGTGTAATTAGTGCAGTTAGCCTGGTGGTCCACCACCATAGGTTGCTATCTTGTTAAGGGGTAGTTACCCCTTGTGTTGGTATTAATAAATGCGTTGCCTCCAAAGAGTACGTTGGCGACTAAGTTTAACTTACTACAATAACAATGGGGTCATAATAACACAGGGGCATAATAACACAGCGGTCATGATGGATATTGAACTTCTTTTGTACCGTACGTAGCCAACAGTGTTAATCGGAGGCGCAGGACACAGTAGTGATAATGTTTGGCAACAGAAGAGTGGGTTGGAAACGTTCAGCCACAAATGGGCAATGCCCATCCGATGTGACATTTGGTGGCAATGTATTGCCTTCATTGACCATGAACGCCTCCTTGAGTGTTCCAAGATGTAGACGAAAAAATCATTCCAGTTTTGTTTATTTTTTTAACTTGAGGCAGTGAAAATGTTATATATGTACTGTTTGTGCATGTGATATGATGCCAACAGACGCACCTAATGGGAGACGCGTTATGAATAGTGGAAATTACACAAATCAAAGTATCGTTTTCACTTGCGGAAAACGAAAAGATATTTTTCAGTATCGCAAAACAATTTGGTTCTTTCTGTTTTGTTGTATAGATCGCGTGTTATATACTGTATACTATAGCAAAACACTGAGCATTTAATAATTTACGCGTGAGTTTTCATTTCTAATTTACTGCTGAAGTGAAGAGTGGTTGTAGCATGGAGAATGATCACCACCTCAGTGCTCATATGAGGATGAAATCACAGACTGTTTTGTGAGTTTTAATATTCTGATTCATTATTATTTTTTTAGGTTAGGTTCACGCAATGGTCTGGCTAAATTTGTGTCATGTAAGCCTTCACCACCCGACACAGCCAAACAAAAGTTCAGGTGTACGAGGAATTTAACAACCCGCCAAATGTGATTCTGTCAGCTAGCCCACCGGTAAAGTTCAAGAGGTATTCTCACAATCAAAATTATCAGTGATTAGATATGCGACCTTCCGTTTGAAACTGATCCAATCCTCCTCAGATCATGAACGTTCCAGTGGCGAGATGTTAACTATCTCGCCTGGTGTACAGGAGGTCGTAAGTTCGATCCAAACCCTGACGCCTCTATATTTGGAGGTTGCGTTTCTCTCTGTCTCTCATCATCATCACGGTGGCTAGGAGATCTTAACTATCTCGCCTGGTGTACAGGAGGTCGTGAGTTCGATATAGACCCTGACGCCTCCATATTTGGAGTTTGCGTGTCTCTCTCTCTCATCATCATCACGGTGGCTAGGAGATGTTAACTATCTCGCCTGGTATACAGGAGGTCGTGAGTTCGATCCAGACCCTGACGCCTCTATATTTGGAGTTTGCGTGGCTTTCTCTCTCTCTCATCATCATCACGGTGGCTAGGAGATGTTAACTATCTCGCCTGGTATACAGGAGGTCGTGAGTTCGATTCAGACCCTGACGCTTGTATATTTGGAGTTTGCGTGTCTCTCTCTCTCATCATCATCACGGTGGCTTGGAGATGTTAACTATCTCGCCTGGTGTACAGGAGGTCGTGAGTTCCATCCAAACCCTGACGCTTGTATATTTTGAGTTTGCGTGTCTCTCTCTCTCTCATCATCATCACGGTGGCTAGGAGATGTTAACTATCTCGCCTGGTGTACAGGAGGTCGTGAGTTCGATCCAAACCCTGACGCTTGTATATTTGGAGTTTGCGTGTCTCTCTTTCTCTGTCATCATCATCACGGTGGCTAGGAGATGTTAACTATCTCGCCTGGTGTACAGCAGGTCGTGAGTTCGATCCAGACCCTGACGCCTCTATATTTGGAATTTGCGTGTCTCTCTCTCTCTCATCATCATCACGGTGGCTAGGAAATGTTAACTATCTCGCCTGGTGTACAGGAGGTCGTGAGTTCCATCCAAACCCTGACGCTTGTATATTTGGAGTTTGCGTCTCTCTCTCTCTCTCATCATCATCACGGTGGCTAGGAGACGTTTAACTATCTCGCCTGGTGTACAGGAGGTCGTGAGTTCGATACAAACCCTGACGCTTGTATATTTGGAGTTTGCGTGTCTCTCTCTCTCTCTCATCATCATCACGGTGGCTAGGAGATGTTCACTATCTCGCCTGGTGTACACGAGGTCGTGAGTTCGATCCAAACCCTGACGCTTGTATATTTGGAGTTTGCGTGTCTCTCTTTCTCTCTCATCATCATCACGGTGGCTAGGAGATGTTAACTATCTCGCCTGGTGTACAGCAGGTCGTGAGTTCGATCCAGACCCTGACGCCTCTATATTTGGAGTTTGCGTGTCTCTCTCCCTATCTCTCATCATCATCACGGTGGCTAGGAGACGTTAACTATCTCGCCTGGTTTACAGGAGGTCGTGAGTTCGATCCAAATCCTGACGCTTGTATATTTGGAGTTTGCGTGTCTCTCTCTCTCTCTCATCATCATCACGGTGGCTAGGAGATGTTAACTATCTCGCCTGGTGTACAGGAGGTCGTGAGTTCCTTCCAAACCCTGACGCTTGTATATTTGGAGTTTGCATGTCTCTCTCTCTCTCATCATCATCACGGTGGCTAGGAGATGTTAACTATCTCGCCTGGTGTACAGCAGGTCGTGAGTTCGATCCAGACCCACTATCTCGCCTGGTGTACAGCAGGAGGTGAGTTCGATCCAGACCCTGACGCCTCTATATTTGGAGTTTGCGTGTGTCTCTCTCTCATCATCATCACGGTGGCTAGGAGATGTTCACTATCTCGCCTGGTGTACACGAGTTCGTGAGTTCGATCCAGACCCTGACGCCTCCATATTTGGATTTTGCGTGTCTCTCTCTCTCATCATCATCACGGTGGCTAGGAGATGTTAACTATCTCGCCTGGTATACAGGAGGTCGTGAGTTCGATCCAGACCCTGACGCCTCTATATTTGGAGTTTGCGTGTCTCTCTCTCTCATCATCATCACGGTGGCTAGGAGAAATGTTCACTATCTTGCCTGGTGTACAGGAGGTCGTGAGTTCGATCCAGATCCTGACGCCTCCATATTTGGAGTTTGCGTGTCTCATCATCATCACGGTGGCTAGGAGATGTTAACTATCTCGCCTGTTATACAGGAGGTCGTGAGTTCGATCCAGACCCTGACGCGTCTATATTTGGAGTTTGCGTGTCTCTCTCCCTCTCTCTCATCATCATCACGGTGGCTAGGAGACGTTAACTATCTCGCCTGGTATACAGGAGGTCGTGAGTTTGATCCAAACCCTGACGCTTGTATATTTGGAGTTTGCGTGTCTCTCTCTCTCTCTGTCATCATCATCACGGTGGCTAGGAGATATTAACTATCTCGCCTGGTCTACAGGAGGTCGTGAGTTCGATTCAGACCCTGACGCTTGTATATTTAGAGTTTGCGTGTCTCTCTCTCTCTCATCATCATCACCACGGTGGCTAGGAGATGTTAACTATCTCGCCTGGTGTACAGGAGGTCGTGAGTTCCATCCAAACCCTGACGCTTGTATATTTGGAGTTTGCGTCTCTCTCTCTCTCATCATCATCACGGTGGCTAGGAGACGTTTAACTATCTCGCCTGGTGTACAGGAGGTCGTGAGTTCGATACAAACCCTGACGCTTGTATATTTGGAGTTTGCGTGTCTCTCTCTCTCTCATCATCATCACGGTGGCTAGGAGATGTTAACTATCTCGCCTGGTGTACAGCAGGTCGTGAGTTCTATCCAGACCCTAACGCCTCTATATTTGGAGTTTACGTGTCTCTCTCTCTCTCATCATTACGGTGGATAGGAGATGTTAACTATCTCGCCTGGTATACAGAGGTCGTGAGTACGATCCAGACCCTGACGCTTGTATATTTGGAGTTTGTGTGTCTCTCTCTCTCATCATCATCACGGTGGCTAGGAGATGTTAACTAT